GAGGTTGTCCGGCCGCTGGTTCACTCTCCAAACAGCCACAATGGCTGGGGCTGGGCCAATCGGAAGCCAGGAGCCAGGAGCCAGGAGCCAGACCTCCTGGTCTCCCACATGGGTACAGGGGTCCAATCACTCGGGCCATCCTCTGCTGCTTTTCCAGTCCGTTAGCAGGGAGCAGGATTGGAAGTGAAGCACCCAGGACCCAAATCAGTTCCCATATGGGATGCCGGTGCCAGGCAGAGGCTTAGCCCACAGTGCCACAGCGCTGGTCCCCTCTACTCAACATTATGCTGCAGGTTTTACCCAATGCAATTAGGCAAGAAAAACAAATAAAAGGCCTCCAGACTGTAAAGGATGAAGTAAAACCATCTCTATTTACAGATAATACGATTTTGTGTAAGGAAAATCCTAAGGAATCTACAAGAAAGTGTATCAGCCAATAAGGGTGCTCAGCAAGGCTACAGGATACCAGACCCGTATGAAAGCAGTTTTATTTCTGTGTGTTAGCAATGGACTTTCCAAAACTGAAATTAATAAACAGTCCCAGTTATAGTGGCATCGAAAAGAATAAGCTACTTAGGGATTCCTTTAACAAAAGATGTCCAACATCATCTATTCATTAGGGGAGTGAAAACCACAATGAGAAGGGGGCCAGCATTCTGGTGTAGCTGGTGAAGCCATCCCCTGTGACGCCAGCATCCCATATGGGTGATGGGTGCTGGTTCAAGTCCCGGTTGCTCCTCTTCTAATCCAGCTACCTGCTAACACCTGGGAAAGTAGCACAGGATGCCCCAATTGCTTCGGCCCCTGCACCCATGTGGGAGACCTGAAAGAAGCTCCTGGCTCCTGGCTTCAGCCTGGCCCAGCCTGGCTGTTGTAGTCATTTGAGGGAGTAAACCAGTGGATGAAAGATATCTCCCTCCCTCCCTCCTACCCTCCTTTCCTCTCTCCCTCTCCCTCTCTCTCTCTGTAACTCTGCCTTTCTAATACATAAAATAAATCTTAAAAAAAAAAAAAAAAGACATTACTCTAGAAACCCCAAGGGTTTTAGAGAAAGTTGTGTGCCAAGCATCAGGAACAAAGAGCAAGAATTTATTGATTATTATATGAAAATACCCCTAAGCTTTGAAAGTAGGGACTCAAACAGATACCTGTTCCTATATTCATAAGAGCATTATTCACAGCTTAAGTGCCCATTCACAGATAAATGGATAAAGACAACTGTACACACAGATAATGGAATATTATTCAGTCTCAAAAAGGAATAAAATGCTAATACATGACCCAATATGGATGAACCCTGAAGATACTGAGAAAAATGAAAGCCAGACCCCAAAAGATAACCTCTGTGTGATCCCACTTCCACAAGACGCCTAGAATAGGCAAATTCATGGACAGAAGGTAGGACAGAGGTTACCCGGGGCTAAGGGGAGCGGACAATGAACAATTCTAGAAATGGACGGTGGTGATGATTATACAACATTGCGAATGGACACAGTGCCCCTGAAATATACACTTAAAACAGGTTAAATGGGGGCAGACGTTTGTCGCAGTGGTCAAGATGGCATCTGACATGCCTAAATGCCTGCTGCAGGGCCTGGAGTCAAGCCCTTACTCTGCTTCCAATTCCAGCTTCCAGCTAACGCGCACCTGGGGCCGTACCTGAGGGCTCAAACACTTGGGTTCCTGCCACTCATGTGGAAGACCCAGACTGAGTTCTGGGGCCCTGGCTCCTGCAGGTCTTTGGGGAAATGAACCAGCATACGGAAGATCTCCATCTCCCTTTCAAGTGTATAAGCAAAAATCAATTTTAAAAATGGTTAAGAGGGCAAATATGCTTTATCACAATTTAAAAATCAGAAGTCTAACGGGCAAAGGATTTGACTGCATGTACAAATGGCTGAGAAACATACGAAATGATGCTTGATAGAATTAGCTCCCAGAGAAATGCAGACCAAGGACCCCGTGAGATACCACTTCACACCCGCTAGATGGCTACGGTCCAAAAGACATGCAGTGAATGTTGTCCAGGAAGTGGAGAAATCGGAGCCTGCACCCACTGCTGGTGGGAAGGTAAAGTGGTGCAGTCACTTTGGAAAACACTCAGGCGATTCATCGGAACAGTAAACACACAGCGACGACTTGACACAGCCAACCTATTCTCAGGTACAGGAGAAATGAAACACAGGCCACATAAAACGCTGTTACCTGAGCACTCACAACAGTCTCATTCATACAGCCCCTCGGTGGAGATCACCCACCAGCGCGTCGGCTGATGGACGGAAAAACAAATGCGGAATATACATGTACATATACAATGGCTGTCCCTCCACAGCAGAAATGAATGACGCACAGACGCATGCTGCAGCATGGATGAATCTTCAAAACAAAGAGGCCAGTCACAAAGAATCACCTATTGTGTAACTCCATGTCTATGAAATGTCCAGGATAGGCAATTTCAAACAGACACAAGGTATATTAGTGGCTGCCTAGGGCTGGGTGGAGAGGGGAACAGTGGCTGGTGTAAGTGGGGAGTACTGTTAATAAGTCCAGAATTTCTTTTGGGGGAGGTAAAAAAAAAATGTGCTAAAATTGACTGCAGTCCACAGCTCTGTGGACATATTAAAACCCACAGAGTTGAACACTTTAAAGAGGTAAATTGCACTGTATGTGAAATACATCCCAATAAAGCTCTTACCAAAACGAAAAAAAGCAAAACTTTCCATAAAAAATTGAACAGTGCTTCTTATATGAGCATGGCTTTATTTGGCTAGAAAAGAACCCGTAACAGGCCAGCATCGTAGGGCAGTGGACAAAGCCACTGCCTGCAATGCCGGAATCCCACGCGGGCACCAGTTCTAGTCCTGGCTGCTCCACTCCCGATCCAGCTCCCTGCTAGGGTGTCTGGGAAAGCATACCAGCTTGGGTCCCTGCCACCCACGTGGGGACCTGGCTTTGGTCTGGTCCAGTCTGGCTGTCACAGCCATTAAAGTGAACCAGCAAGCAGATGGAAGATCTCTCTCTCTCAGTCTCACTCTGGAACTCAGCCTTTCAAATAAATAAATAAATATTCAAAAAAAGGGACCAATAACAAAAATAGTAATTAAAATTATAGCTGTATTTTTTTTTACATTTTAAGACTATATGTTTTTAAAAGATTTATTTATTTGAAAGGCAGAGTGACAGAGAAAGGGGAACACACATACACACACACACACAGATCTTCTATCTGGCAGTTCACTCCCTGAATGACAACAGCCAGGGTGGGACAGGCCAAAGCTAGGAACCCAGAACGCCATCCAGACCTCCCCCACGGGTGGCAGAGGCCCAAACGTTGGGCCATCCCCCCCTGCCTTCCCAGCACACTGGCAGGAAACTGGACAGAGACAGCACAGCCTTGATACCAGCACCCACAGCTTTCACAGAACAGGCAGGAAACCAGCTAGATCTGCTGAGCTGGAAGCTGCCCCACCCACCCTGTACACATCTACTTGTCAATCAAACTGCCCTCCCCAGGATGGATCTTTTCCGCCTGGGACCCAGCAGGGAGGGGAGGGGCCATGTAAATAACCACAGGAGGCTGACAACTGGGGAGATGGCTCTCCTCACTTGAGACCACGACCAGCAGAGCGGCTCTCTCTGCTTCCCCTCCCCCACTCCCACTCATGTCGGTATGTGTGTGCGTGTGCGCACGCGCGCATGTGTGTGTGTGTGTGTGCAGTGCCGGCATCCCGTATGGGCACCTGTTTGAGTCCCAGCTGCTCCACTTCTGATCCAGCTCTCTGCTGTGGCTTGGGATGGCAGTGGAGGATGGCCCAAGTCCTTGGGCCCCTGCACCCGCATGGGAGACCTGGAAGAAGCTCCTGGCTCCTGGCTTTGGATCAGTGCAGCTCCAGCCATTGTGGCCATCTGGGGAGTGAACCAGAGGACAAAAGACTTCTTTCTCCCTCCCTGCCTCTGCCTGTCTGTAACTCTGCCTTCCAAATAAATAAATCTTAAAAAAAAAAAAAAAAAAAAAAAAAGTGAACCTATCACATCTTCTTTTTAAAAAAACAAACAAACAACAGAACTAAGGGGTGTGCGTTGTGAAGAAGTTCATGCAGCCTGCAATGCCAACATCCCATACTGGAACACTGCTTTGCATCCTGGCTGCTCCACTTCTGATCCAGCTCCCTGCTAATGGCCCAAGTGTTTGGGCCCCTGCCACCCATGTGGGAGACCCAGATGGAGTTCCAGACTCCTGAATTTGGCCCAGCCCGGCCCAGAGCCCATACGACCATTTGGAGAGTGAACCAAAGGATAGAAGAACTCTTTCTCTGTCTCTCCTTTCCTCTCTCTGTTACTCTGCCTTTCAAATAAATATAATCTTTAGAAAAAATAAATAGGATTAAAAACAACTAATATTTTAAATACTAGTTTTAGGAAACATCTAAAATCATGTAAAACAAAGGAATAATGGCCAAAAAATAAAGGGATATTGGATGCCCCAAGTGCAGGAAGGCAAAGAATGAGGGACTCAGAAAATGCACATCAGGGAGGACTTCACAAGGTCCATGGAAGGGCAGATGTGGGCCTCTCTTGGCTATTGGACTGGACACTGGTTTCATGGATGCTTAATCCACACTAAACGTAAAAAAGAAGTTAAGACCTTGCCTGGGCCATCAGTGAGAATGAATTGGGGCCAGTGCTGTGGTGTAGCGGGTAAAGCCGCTGCCTGCAGTGCCAGCACCCATATGGGCTCTGGTTCGAGTCCCAGCTGCTCCAGCTCTCTGCTGTGGGCTGGGAAAGCAGCAGGGGATGGCCCAAGTGCTTGCGCCCCTGTACCCACAAGGGAGACCCGGAGGAAGCTCCTAGCTTAGGACTGGCTTAGCTCTGGCTGTTATAGCCTTTTGGGGAGTGAACCAGCAAATGGAAGGTCTTTCTCTCTAACTCTACCTATCAAATAAATAAGTAAAATCTTTTCTTTTGAAAAAGGCACAGATAAAAGAAACGGAAAACAATAATCTTGGACAAAAGTTTATTTCCTAAAATACAAGCATCTCACAATGGAGGACGGGAACTTAGACTAAACGTCTGAGAGCCGGGAGAACACAGATACTGACAAACTCTCACTGTCGATTTAAAAAGACGCTTTTCAAATACGGCTGATAGAAATCTAAGCACAAGAGATTAGAAAGGAAAACAGAACTACAATCGATAAAGCTTTACAGCAAAGGGAAAAACAAGGGGAAAGAAAATCAAGAGAGCATTAACAAATGAAAAACATCAAAGAAAGAGAGTACCAATCTATCGTTTTCCCAGTACAACCGTAAGAATGAGGAGAGGCTGAAACAGACCCAGAGTGTCGACCATTATTTAATTCATATAGAAATCATTAGTGACCAGATTTATGAAATGTCACTAGAGACAGGAAGAGAGTGTGTTCACATGCATTTAATCGGCTTTAATTATGTGCCTACATGATAACTGGCTAGTACACAAGAATGCATTTAATTAAAAACACAAGTAGCTACAGACAGTAATACCCATTTCCTTTTACCAGATCTTAAGTAGGGATTTTTTTTTTTAATTTTTAAAGTAAATACTGAACATTGAAGACAGGTAGGCAACTGGGTTAGTTTTTTCCAGCTCCATCTTCCATTTTCACCTCTTCAGGACAAATATTCTGTTTGTTAAAACCATGTGAAGGATTCTGTCCCGGTTGCCCCTCTTCCAGGCCAGCTCTCTGCTGTGGCCCGGGAGTGCAGTGGAGGATGGCCCAGGTCCTTGGGCCCTGCACCCCATGGGAGACCAGGAGAAGTACCTGGCTCCTGCCATCGGATCAGCGCAGTGCGCCGGCCGCAGCATGCCGGCCGCGGCGGCCATTGGAGGGTGAACCAACACAAAGGAAGACCTTTCTCTCTGTTTCTCTCTCTCACTGTCCACTCTGCCTGTCAAAAACAAAAACAAAAACAAAAAAACATGTGAAGGAGTCACTGCTATTCTTCCTGCCCCTCACCCAACTCCTTCCTTTTAAATATGTGAGGAAACCAAGCAGAATCACTAGGCAGTCTACCCAGGTTACAAAGCTTTAAAGGCCTGCTTCCAGGATTCAAACTCAGACTTTGTGCCCCAGGGCCAACATCGACACAGCATCGCTGTGGGATAACCTGTGCGCTTCAAAAACCACATTAGGCCGCATGAAAGGCAGCCCAGAAACTAAGTAAAACCAGGCTCATGCCCTCTGTTTTCCCTCCCTCTTGGGAGACTTCTATTAAGTCGGGGATGTGAACCACTCTGCTGCAAGAGAACCTAAGACACTCACTCTGGTCCTTTGCTGCCCTCTTATGGAGGATGCACATGGACGCACTGAAGTCTCCGGCCAACAGCAGCACGCCCCGGTGCCGTAAGCGCCAAACTATTCTACACGACAGGTGAGTTTCTGGAAGAGAATTACTAGCACTTAAGAGGTACCTGATGAATGTTTTAAAACATTTTTATTTATGTTGAAAGGCAGTTACGGAGTGTGGGAGGGAGTAGAGGGGGGTGGGAGAACTCGTTCAAATAAAATTTAAAAATAAATAAAATAAAGAAGTCTTCCATGTGTTGGTTTACTCCCCAGATGGTTAGACAGCTAGGGCTGGACCAGGCGGAAGCCAGGAGCTAGGAGTTTCTTCCGGGTCTCCAACATGGGTGCAGAGTCCCAAGCACTTGGGCTGTCCTTGGCTGCTTTCCCAGGTACACTAGCAGAGAGCTGGAACGGAAGTGGAGAAGCTGGGACTCAAACCAGTGCCCATATGGTAGCTTAACCCAGTACCTGACAGTGCCAGCCCCTCCGTGAATTTTTGTAGAGCAGAACTGAAAGTTTCATCTATTGAATCTTTGATATGTACTAAGATCTTGACTTTATACGATCCTACAATAAATTATTTAAATGACTAATTGTCGCTCCCCGTCTTCGTGGGGGAACAACACAAGACCCTGGCTAGGCTTCATATCCGAGTCACGGCACCATTATGTCGCTCCCCCTCTTCGTGGAGGAACGACACAGGACCCTGCGCTGTTCTTTCGTCTGCTCGGCCCTCCCCGGGTTTGCTGCTGGTTCTTCCCGGGTTGGCTACTATCCCTTCCACCTCCGTGGAAGGGCAGTTCCCCCTGGCCACATTCCCCACTTCCGCAGGGGAGCGGCACACCGCCGGCCGGCTCTCTCGGGGGCTGCACAGGTGTTCCCTTAGATGTTCCTCTTAGATGTTCCTGGTGCATGCCGTCTCTCTCCTCCTTTATAGTCCTCCTCCGCCAATCCCAACTCGGCTGCCCACACGCCGAGTACGCTGCTCTCCAATCAGGAGCAAGTCCTACAGTTTATTGGTTGAACTGGAGGCACCTGTGTAGAAGCTGTTTACTTCTCTCCCAGCGCCATATTGTGGGAGAGCAGATGCATAGAATAAGTCTTAATTCCAGTAACTCAGTCTAGTCCGGATTGCTCCCCACAACTAATCACCCTCCAATTTAATCTCTGCGGTATACAGTTACATATATATGTACATATGTAAACATTTATCTAAAATTACAAAATTCTATCATGTAGCCCAATTATTTCCAACAAAAGTATGAATAAAAATCATAATCTAAGAATTTCAACCTATTCACTAGTTTCAAGCAGTGTTGCCTCATTTTAAAGACAGACTCAAACAGTCAAAGTGAGTGGTTCAACTTTCTTCTCATTTTCTGCTTTCTGGTCTGTTGCTCGTGGCTGTATCTCTCTCGGGAGACTGCCTGGGCCTGTGCGACAGTCAGACCTGATCAATTCTCAGCACGAGCTGTGAAGACGAGCGCCACTTTAAGTTTCACTGCAGGCAGTTGTCTCCTCGCTAGTCCGGCTTTCACAAGCCTGTGAAACGGGAAGTCAGTGTCGGGAAAGTGTGTAGCTCTGCGTTGATGGCAAGCATCTGACTCCGGGACGAGTGGGCTTCCACAGACGGCCTGACACGAGGCAGCTTCTCCAGGCTCCCTCACTGGGACGGAGCATTTAGATCCTCAGAACCAGACCTCCCTGGCTGGCATCACCAGGGCCAGGAAAAGCCAAGGGTCCCACTGAGGCGTACAGTGTCCACAGACACCGTTCCTGCACAGTGGGCAGCTACCACAATTTTTTTTAACAATCCTAGGGCTGGGGGCCCAGGTTGTGGCGTAGTAGGTTAAGCCTCCATCTGCAATGCTGGCATCCCACAGGGGCGCTGGTTCAAGACCTGGCTGCTTTACTTCCAATCCAGCTCCCTGCTAACGCACCTAGTAAAGAAAGAGAAGATGGCCCAAGTCCTCGGGCCCCTGCACCCACGTGGCAGACCTGGAAGAAGCTCCTGGCTCCTGGCTTTGGTCTGGCCCAGCCCTAGCTGTTATGGCCATTTGGGGAGTGAACCAGCAGATGGAAGATCTTTGTGTCTTCTCTGTCTCTCTGTAACTCTGCCTTTCAAATAAATAAAATAAAACTTAAAAAAAAAAAAAAAACCCTAAGGTTGCTGGTGTACTCACTCACAGTATTCCCTGGGTCCCTCCTCCCCAGGTAGCTCTATCACACACCCATGGCTAGCTCGCAAAGGGTTTAGCTCCTCAGGCCATCTTCCTCAGGCTATTTCCTGTGATACCGTGTTCATTCAGGCCCCTATCTTCTTACACTCATTCACCAACCACCGTGTTGCACAGGCGCCCACGACTCTGGAAGAACTGTGCTGGGAGCGAGGTCTGGAAGGACGAACAAGAGACAGGAACTGATGTCATGTAGCTTAGCTTCCAGGGAGACAGAAGATGCATCAAACACACTGATAAAAGTCTGGCAAGGCTTGTTAGGGAAAGTAACAGAATGGGTTAAGAAAGCTGTAGGACCGGAGAGAGGGCTGGTATTTGGAGAAAGGCTGTCGGGGAAACTGACATTTAAGCCAACATGGAAGTAGGTGAGTGAGGAAAGAGAAATCCAGGGAGCAGAAGAAGCAAACACCCTGAGCCTTCAGATAGGAAGGAGCATGGCAGCTTTAGGGTTAACCCAAGGCCTATGAGGTTGAAAGCTGAGCCTGGCTTAAACCATCCAGGCACAGGGCCGCGCTGTGGCACAGCTGGTAAAGCTGCTGCCCGCAGTGCCGGCATCCCGTATGGGCACTGGTTCTATTCTGGCTGCTCCACTTCCGATCCAGCTCTCTGCTGTGGCCTGGGAAAGCAGCAGAAGATGGCCCAAGTCCTTGGGTACCTGCACCCGTGTGGGAGACCTGGAAGAAGCTCCTGGCTTCCGATCGGCTCAGCTCTGGCCATTGTGGCCATTTGGGGAGTGAGCCAGCAGATGGAAGACCTCTCTCTCTCTCTGCCTCTGCCTCTCTGTAACTCTTCCTTTCTTTTTTTTTTTTTTTAAGATTTTATTTATTTTATTTGAGAGGTAGAGTTACAGACAGTGAGAGGGAGAGACAGAGAGAAAGGTCTTCTGTTGGTTCACTCCCCAAATGGCTGCAATGGCCGGAGCTGCGCAGATCCGATGCCAGGAGCCAGGAGCTGCTTCCTGGTCTCCTATGTGGGTGCAGGGGTCCAAGGGCTTGGGCCATCTTCCACTGCTTTCCCAGGCCGCAGCAGAGAGCGGGACTGGAAGTGGAGTAGCCGGGACTAGAACCGGCGCCCATATGGGATGCTGGCGCCACAGGCAGAGGATTAACCTAATGTACCACAGTGCCGGCCCCTGCCTTTCAAATAAATAAATAAATCTTAAAAAATAAAACCAGGAAGGCATTCAGGCCCTGTTCAGAAGCGGGGTTGCATCGGAAGCACTGCAGTCCTGCTAGTGGTTTCCAGTGGGGCAGTGATACACTCTAACTCAAAACCGGAAACGCGCCCTCCAGTTTCCAGGTGGAGAACGGCTTAAGCATGGCGGGGGCAGGAGCAGAGAAATCACAAAGGAAGCCACTGCAGGCGCTCCCACACAACAGCGGCCTGGACGACGCCGGTGACGACAGAATCAGAAAAAAGAAAAATGGGTGGATTCGGTTAAAGGTGCAAGTGGACAGAACCTGGAGAGGAACTAGATGTAGACTGGTCTGAGAAACCCTGAATGAAGGTGGCATGCACTGAGATGAGGAACACAGCAGAGTCAATTCAGAGGGGAGGAGGATTGGGGACTCCGTTTTAGACATGTTTAGTTAAAAAAAAAAATTTAAGGGGCTAGCGCCATGGCACAGTAGGTTAATCCTCCGCCTGCGGCACCGGCATCCATTATGGGTGCTGGTTCTAGTCCCGGTTGCTCCTCTTCCAGGCCAGCTCTCTGCTGTGGCCCGGGAAGGAAGTGGAGGATGGCCCAAGTGTTTGGGCCCTGCACCCGCATGGGAGACCAGGAGGAAGCACCTGGCTCCTGGCTTCTGGCTTCGGATCAGCGCAGTTCTGGCCGTTGTAGCCATTTGGGGGGTGAACCAACAGAAGGAAGACCTTTCTCTCTGTCTCTCTCACTGTCTATAACTCTACCTGTCAAATAAATAAATATTAAAAAAAAACTTTTTAAAAATGATTTATTTATTTATTTGAAAGGCAGTTACAGAAAGAGAGGGAGACAGAGAGATCTTCCATCTGCTGATCCACTCCCCACATGGTCACAGGGCCTGGGATGGGCCGAGCTGAAGCCAGGTCTCCCGTGTGGGTGGCAGTTGGGCCGTCGTCCACTGCTTTCACAGGCGCGTTAGCAGGGAGCTGGATCGGAAGCGGAGCAGCCAGAATTTGGTACTCGCCCCTGGGTCATGTGGATGCCTGCGTTGTAGGTGGAGGCTTAACCCACTGCACCACAATGCCGGCCCCAGGTCTAGGATATTTATGAGATTCCCAAGTAGTCAACACACAAAGACAAAACAGTGGACACCGGTAACCTAGAGCACTGAGTGAGAACAAAAGGGGCTCAGGACCAAGCCTGCAGGGGAACAGGAAGGAGGAGGAGCCCAAGGACGCGGACAGGAGGAGTGCCAGGAGTAACCCGGGCCCGTAAACTTACATTTCACGGCAGGCCCGTAAACTCACATTTCACGAGTGAGGCTGTTAGGTGAACGCATGCACAGTACGTTAGTGCAGTGGACCAAATTCTCGCAGAGATCTTCCAGGAGAAGTAGGTTAAGCTCACCTTATCTCCTGGCTGTACTGCGATCCTATAACCAGCACGACCTTTCTAAGCGGAAGGCGGGCCTTGTCTTTTGAATGCATCAACTGATTCCCATCACAGGGTGTTTACACTTGCTGATGCTCGCAACACGCCTCTGCCACACAGCTCCCTTTTTGTCACATTCCAGGCGCAGTTCAGCTGTCACCGGCTCAGGGCAGCTTTTGGCGAAAAGTCGAACCTAGCTGACCCCAGCGCCTTCGAACTGCTTTTTTCCTACCAGCCAGAATGTAAGCTACACAAGAGCACACCTTTTCTATTTCAGGCCACCTTTGCTTTCCTGATGTCTAGAACAGTGCTTGCAACAGAGCAGGATAAATCAAAGAAATATAAAGTTCCAGTGATTATACAAAACCATTTTCTTCGGGGTTGGTAAAATGTTCTAAGGCCAGATCTACGTCAGACTGAGGTATGCCTACTCTGCCAGAACTCTGAACTCCAGCTTTACTGGAGCCGCACCCGCACCTGCTCAGCTGAGCCCCCGTGAGCCCCACCCGCACCCGCTCAGCAGAGCCCCCGTGAGCCGCACCCGCACCTGCTCAGCTGAGCCCCTGTGAGCCCCACCCGCACCCGCTCAGCTGAGCCCCCCGGTGAGCCCCCCCACCCCCCGTGAGCTCCACCCGCACCTGCTCAGCTGAGCCCCCTGTGAGCCCCACCCGCACCTGCACCTGCTCAGCTGAGCCCCCGTGAGCCCCACCCGCACCTGCACCTGCTCAGCTGAGCCCCCGTGAGCCCCACCTGCACCTGCACCCGCTCAGGTGAGCCCCCGTGAGCCCCACCCGCACCTGCTCAGCTGAGCCCCGGTGAGCCGCACCCGCACCTGCTCAGGTGAGCCCGCTGTGTTTCACAGCCCCCTGCCTGCCCGCCGTCCCACTGGCTCCCTCTCCTGCCGTAGTCCAGCATTTCCTCGAGTCCAAGCACAGGGCAGTCAGGGCAGCTCCACGCCAAGCTAAGCCATCACTGCTTTCTTACATTCACAGACGGAACTGTAGGAGTCCTGGCTTCTTTCTAACCCTTCCTAGGCCGAAGGCAAGCCAAAGGCTAATTTCCTCACACAGGTTTTGTAATAGATGCTTTATGAATTAGTGTGTCACTTAATTCTACTAAAAGTTATTGGGCTTTGCATATAATAGTCCCTAACAATGTGGCGCCTGGCGGATGATCGGGGGCCGTGTCAGCAGCCGCCGTGGTTAAACTGCGCGAGATCGGACCACCTGCAGGGATAGGTGCGATTTAGTTCTGGACACGTGGACAGCGCGTGATCCCTATACCTCGCTCAAGGTGCCCCTGTGCATGGTCCACCAGGGCCTGCGTGACCTTTTCGCGGACTGGCTCCCCTACTGCGCATGTCCTTCGTAAGCTTTGTAAGCCTGAACCCCTCCTCAATAAAGCGGTTCCTGCTTCCACAGAACTCACGGTGCTTGCGGTGTGTTCTTGACCCGTTGACCTCTCCCATTCGCCTTGTCAGGAGTGCTTGTACTGCCCCCTGCTGGTCAGGGGACAGTCTCAGGGTCTTTCTAACCCTTCCTAGGCCGAGGGCAAGCCAAAGGCTAATTTCATCACACAAGTTTTGTAATAGATGCTTTATGAATTAGTGTGTCACTTAATTCTACTAAAAATAAAATTGGCAATGATACTTGTATAAGTGATTTCAAAATTTTTTTGCATTGAAATAAACTGATAATTTTCCCATGAACATTGTAAGGGGCTCTGGAACGGAGAGTGTCAGCCATAAAACATGCATACACCACATATTTCCAATTTTTAAACACTGATAATGCACTTACTCAGAAGACAACTTCTAGGGGTTGGTGTTATGGTTTAGTGGGTAAAGCCGCCACCTGTGGCACCAGCATCCCACATGGGTGCCAGTTCAAGTCCCAGCTGCTCCACTTCCCATCCAGCTCTCTGCTAATGCTTCTGGGAAAGCAAGGGCTTAGGCCCCTGCACTCACGTGGGAGACCTGGAGGAAGCTCCAGGCTCCTGGCTTCAGCCTGGCCCAGCTCTGGCCATTGTGGCCATCTGAGGAGTGAACCAGTAGATAGATCTCTCTCTGCAGCCAGCACTGTAGCCCAGCGGGGTTAACACCTGGCCTGAAGCGCCAACATCCCATATGGGCACCAGTTGGAGACCCGGCTGCTCCACTTATGATCCAGCTCTCTGCTGTGGCCTGGGAAAGCAGTAGAAGATGGCCCAAGTCCTTGGGCCCCTGCACCCAGGTGGAAGACCCAGAAGAAGCTCCTGGTTCCTGGCTTTGGATCAGCCCATCTCCAGCCACTGAGGCCAACTGGGGAGTGAACTAACGGATGGAGGACCTCTTTCTCTCTCTCTGCCTCTCTTCTCTCTGTGTAACTCTGACTTTCAAATACATAAATAAGTCTTACTTATTTATTTATTTATTTTTTGACAGGCAGAGTGGACAGTGAAAGAGACAGAGAAAGGTCTTCCTTTGCCGTTGGTTCACCCTCCAATGGCCGCCGTGGCCGGCGCACCGCGCTGATCTGATGGCAGGAGCCAGGTGCTTCTCCTGGTCTCCCATGGGGTGCAGGGCCCAAGCACTTGGGCCATC